TAGCATGTGGTCTATTTTGGAGAATGACCTGTGTGCAGCCAAAAAGAAAGTATATTCTGATTTTGTGGGGTGGAACACTCGTAAACATCTATTACGTCTATTTGTTCAATAGCTTGGTTCAATTCTAGAGTTTCATTGTTGATTTTTTTGTCTTGATGATCTGTCTCTTTGGGTTTTTTTGGTACTGGGGACCTAACTCGGGTCCTTGTGCTTGCACAGCAGGTGGCGAAACCACTGAGCTATATCCCTGGCTGGTCTGTCTGTTTGTGATAGTGGGGTATTGAGGTCCCCCCCTACAATTCTATTAGTGCTTATTTGGTTTTTCATGTCCATTAATATTTGTTTTGTATAGTTGAAGGCATTTGCATTTGGTGCATATATATTTAGGATTGTCATCTCTTCCTCTTTGATTGTTCCCTTCACAAGGATGTAGTGACCATTTTTATCCTTCTTAATTAGTTTTGGTTTTAAATCTACTTTGTCTGCAAATAAGATTGCTACCCCTGGCTTTTTCCGAGTTCCTGTCGCGTGGAGAACTGTTTTACACCCTTTTATTTTCAGTCTATGAATTTCTTTTTGAGTTGGGTATGTTTGTCATATACAGCATATTGTTGGACTTTGCTTCTCGATCCATCTGCCAGTCTATTTCTTTTGATTGGTGAATTGAGGCCATTAACATTGATGGTTGTAATTGATAGATATTGACTCATCCTTGTCATGATGTTTTCCTGTTGTTGGCTCTTTTAATTTTTAGTTTCCCCCTTTCCCATTAGTTTCTTACCTTGCCTGGTGGCTTCTCTCTGTTGGCCCTCATGGAGTTGTGACCTTCATTGTCTTTTTCTAGGATATTGTTTAGAATTGTTTGAAGTGCTGGTTTGGTGTTCATGAAATCTCTCAGGTGTTCTTTGTCATGGAAGCATCTAATTTCCCCTTCTATTTTGAAAGATAATTTTGCAGGATACAACAGTCTAGGTTGGAAGTTATTTTTTTTTATGGATTTAAATACTTCACTCCAGGTTCTCCTTGACTTGAGGATTTGTGTTAAGAAGTCTGTTGTGATTCTGATGGGCTTTCCTTTGCAAGCGATTTGTTTCTTTTCTCTAACTGCTTGTAGGATTTTGTTTTTCTATTGGGTTTCTGGGATCTTGACTATTATATGTTTATGTGTAGATTTTTTGTTTTGATCATGGCTAGTTGTAGTTCTATGACTCACTTATCTGTATGTCCAATTCTCTACCTCTGTCTGGAAAGTCTTCTACTATTTTGTGAACAGTTTTTTTTTTATGTCAATTGTACTTTCTCCTGGTTTTTCATCGACTCTTATCAGTCTTATGTTGTTCTTTGCATCATCTGGCAGCTGCTGGATTGATTTCTTGTGGTCCCTTACTATTTTTATGAAATCTCTGTTTCCATGGTCATTAACTGCAATCCTGTCTTCTGTATCTGATATTCTATCTTCACATTCCCTTAATCTGCTATGAATACTTTCAATAGAGTTTTTAATCTCCTGGGTATCTGTTTGAATCTGTTTCATGGATTCCATTTCTTATGTTGGGCGATCATGGTTTCCATTTCTGCTGGGCATTCATGGCTTCCAACATGTTTCTGAGCTCATCTGTTTTTTTTATCTGTTTTTGTTCTAGAGCCTCTAGTCATGTCTTTCACTTTGCTCACCATCTCTGTAGATATCTGGGAGATTATTTCTGTTTTGAATTTTTGTAGAGCCTCATTCATCTGTTTTGTTACTTTCTGTGCTTTTAGTTCAGGGTGTCCAGGTCATTGCTTATCAGACTTTTCCACTTCATTTCCCCCAGAATTTGCTTTTTGTGGGGTGGAAGTCTGAGTCTGTGCCTTGGTTAAATGCCTTCTCATTTTTTGTTTTTGATACTGTCCTTGATTTAATTCTTGGGTTGATATTTTGAAATTGCTTATTGTAATTATCTTTGTTGCTTGTATTTAGAACCCTTATGGAATGATTGCTTCTCAGAGGAGTCTTCCAGATATAGCTGGTCTTTAGGTTTTGAGTCTCTAATGCCTGTGAGCTATCTCATTTTCATTATCCCAGGAAGGACAACTGATTAGATCAATCATAACACCTTAGCCCAAGTGATACAATTAGCCACACCATAGCACCAAGCACAGTTTAGAAAATGACAATTTGTGGTAGTTATTAATCTATGACCTTTAACTGTGTGAATTAAATAAAAATTGAGAACCAGCCCAACATATGTTTATCGTGAATAAACTCCTCAATATAGCAACTTTACCCTTCTGGATGGGGAGTCAGAAGGAGTTGGGGAGGGAGGAATATGTAGGTAGAAGGATAGGGGAAGGTTAGCAGTGAGGCCAGAGGACACAGAAAGATCACACAAACTCTAAGAAACTTTTGAAGTCAAGAGGAAAAGACAGAATGAAAGAACAAAGACGAGAACAGAACAACCTAATAACAATAGGGAGGCTAGACACTGTATTTACTTTCCTTTAAAACTAATGACAATTGAGAGAAGGAAAAAGAGAAGAAAAGAAAAATATAGAAGAAATCTGAATTAGGGCCAGAACAGGAACAAAAAGGGAGATGAAGCACAATGTGGGACAGTGAGACAGCAAGTGAGAGAGAGAGAAAGAAAAGAGAAAAGAAAGAAAGAAAAAGAGAAAAATAAAAATTTGAGAAGAGTAGAAAAAGAAAAAAATAAGAATTAAAATTAAAAATAAAAGAAAAATTTTTGCAAATAAAAAATAAAAATGAAGGTTCTCCTTCAGTGTATGTCTTTGCTATCACAATAGACAATGTGGGCAACAGTGTGCAGATATTAGTCAATGAGTCTCAGCAAGCCAGTAGCAGACCCATGAGATTCAGGCAGATTTCTGGCTGCAAGTCCCAAGTTGAGCTCCCTGTCCTCCTAAGCTGCCCTTCCCCTTAAGATAGTCCAGGTTCTGATGGGAGGTGATGATCCCTCCAACTTACCAAGTACAGTGGTCGGATGTGCCTTTATTGCAGAGATTCTCTTCACTTTTCCAGTGGGCTTTAGTTTTCTTCAAGGAGCCTGAGAGAGGCCTTCTTTCTGTTGTTCACTTCTGCTCTGTCTTCTGGAGCTCAGGACAATGGCCTTTATGACCCCCTGTGCCTCTGGGGTGTGGATCCAGGTACGGCACAGCCAGGAGGCTGGGAGGGGGGGAGGTCTTCAGGTGCCCGTTTGGCTAAGCAGGGTTCCATGGGCCTGAGGTCCTCACCCTATTGGTTGATTTCTTGATAGCAGCCATTCTTTCTGGGGCAAGATGGAATCTCAGTGTTGTTTTCATTTGCATCTCTCTAATGGCCAGTGATGTTGAACATTTTTTTATAGGTTTATTTGCTGCTTCTACTTCTTCATCTGAGAAATGTCTGTTCATTTCAGATTCCCATTTTGGGACTGGGTCTTTAAATTGGGGTGGGGTGTCTGATTTTTAAAAAGTTTTTATATATTCTAGATAATAGTCCTTTGTCTGAGGAACGACTAGTAAGATATTTTTCCCACATTGTGGGTTTTCTCTTCACTCTATTGGTGGTTTATCTTGCTGTGCAAAAACTTTTCAATAAGATGAGATCCCAGTTGTTGATTCCTTGTGCTAGAACTCTTGAAGCCATTTGCTTAGGAAAAGATTTTATAAACAAAACCTCAGTAGTACAGGATTTAGATCATTTTTCTAAGTGACAGATCAAGCTATACTATGATTTCCTGTATTTTTACTTTATTTAGTTTATGTATAAGACATATAAGGGACTATTTATTTTGAAAATGATGTTTATCTTGATTATTCATAAAAAGACTGAGCCTTGGAAACTAATAATTCATTGAACTTTTTAAATTTTATTATGGGGTGTACAGTAGTAAATTATTTGTGATGGATACGTGGAAAAATCTTCTATAGTTTCTTTATAGATTCAGTGTTCAGTGTGATAACTTTAAGAGATAATTTTGCTATTCATATGGAGAGAATAAGTAAATTATTAAGAGTAGATTGTTTGAACTGTGTAGAATGTCTAGAGAGCTCAGTTCCTTTTTACCTCTGGCTCTTTTTAGCAGCTATCTTTCACTGTACAGTTCAGTCCTTGTACACTTGAAATTCTTCATCAATAATTGAAGAGTTTGAGTTAACTGTAAAGATCTTTATACATGTTATTTTTTGTAGCTGTGAATAAATTTATTAAATATTAAATATCAACTCCTTTTCAGTCTATAGGGTCTGAAATCATGCTCTTAGAAGGGAGAGCTACAGATGTAGCAGGTACCATGAAAACAGAGGGGAGTAAGTATATATATCTTGAGCAGAGAAGGAAGGAGGGGAAAGAAGGTTGGGAAACTCTCATAGAAGCAGTCTGGACAAGACCAGGTCTTGAAGATCAATAAGAGTTTATCAAGTGAATAAGGAAAAAGAGAGTTCTAGACTCAGGAAATAGAAGATACAGAGGCAGAGATGATGCATTTTACTTTTGAAAAAATGCAAGCCATTCATATGACACTCAACATGGGCTTATAGTGAAGTAGCAAAATACAAAGAATTGAGATATATAGAAGCAAAATTGTAAAAGTGTTTTATGTCATATTAAAGAATATGGGATTTAACTTAAAGGCAGTGACTAACCATGGAAATGTTTTTCTAGCAGGGCTGGAGGGAGACACTGCAAGATTTAGTTGAAATGAATATGGAGATAACAGTTATAAGACAAGCAGTTCATGAGTCATGTTGGAGGCCTAATTAAAATGAGAGATGTAGATTTTATTACAGATCTGTAAAGTGGATGGAATTCAGAGGGTGTATAAAAACCCCATAAGTCTATGCAAGATTTGTTATATGAATGTATTTTCTTTGGATACTCCATAAATTTCCTCAGATCATGTAACAGGGCTATCAGGGTAAATATAAATTGTAGAGAAAATTGAAAGAACAACATTTACAAACTGGGAAGTTTTATTTTTAAATTTAACTTCTAATCTTTTTTTTTTCTTCACTTTTTATAGTGGACAGGCCAAAATCTCAGCAAGTTCGAACTTCTAGTACAATAAGGCGAACTTCTTCTTTGGATACGATAACAGGACCTTACCTCACAGGGCAGTGGCCTCGAGATCCTCATGTTCATTACCCTTCATGCATGAAAGATAAAGCTACTCAGGTAAAATAAGCAAATTATTACCCTTCAGTTTCTCTGTTTTGATCACAGTAAAGAAAATAGAATGTAATTAAAATGTTTCTTGGATTTGAAATATATCCAAACAAAAAAGAAATCCACTGCTTTATTTTTTAATTTTTTTTTTGGTTATCTGAATTTTAGAAGTTGTAAATTAATGTTTGATAAATAATCTATATTAAGTGGTTTTAGAGATGTATATTGTAGTTTTAAGATTGTTTTCCAATAGAATGAAAATAATGACTAACAATCATATTAAAAATATAAATGCTTAACTCACGGCTAACAAAGTTCATATTGAAGGCTTTTTGTTGTTGTTGTTGTTTTGTTTTTTCTGTTTAAAGCCAAGACTGAAAACTTACACTTTCTCTATTTATGGAAGAATTCCTAAGCATTTAATTTGAAAAAGTTTTTCTTTCATGTCACAAAAACATCTGAAAATATCTTTATGCATAATTATGTGAGTTCTTGATCATATCTTCATCAGTATTTATTGACATTTTGAAGAATAGTAAAAGTATAAGAGATGTTATTTGGGCTTAAAGAGTCTGCAGAATAGTTATGAAGATAGATGTAAATTTATAAAATTGATAACAGAAGATTATGTATAAATCATTATTAGGTGAATGAAACATGTAAGTAAATACAAGGGCCATTAAAGAACATTTTGAACTTTATAGGCTAAAAAATAGAAGGACTAGAGTTTACTGTCTTTTTTCTTTCTTTTGGTTTTTTGAGACAAGTTCTTGCTATACAAGTCCAGGCTGGCCTTGAACTCATTATGTAGCCCAGGCTGGGCTTGAGCTCAAGAAATCCTCCAGTGCTAGGATTACAGGCATGTGCCATCACACCTAGCTCTCATTTTTATTTTCTAACAGAGATTTAAAACCATGAATTTAGCTGCTTCTCTGTGGTATGTCTCATCCGTTCTGCCTTTGTAATATTCTATACTGCCCGTCTTTTGCTTTCCATTCTTCTTTTACTGAGGAAAAAAATAAGTTTGATATGGCAAGAGGTACATTTCTCAAGTTGGAAAAATAGCAAAACTTAAGAGATGTAGGCCTAGACATTTAGAGTGAGATCTAAACAGTTCATTGAGAACCATCTCTGTGGAGGAATTGGATTCGCGAATGTGATCAGGTGCACATGTACAAGATAAACATCCAGTGACCTAGAACTTAGTTTTTGGACAGGTGTACAAAGGAGATAGAGAACTAATTTATTCAACTAGAAACAAGAGGGAGGGAGGAATTAATATTTATTAGGTATGTGCCATATATTGTTTGTTTTATAACTCATGTTTTATTTAATTCTCACAAGAATATTGCAGTAGTACTCAGATGGGGAAGCAGAAACTCAGGAAATTACTTACCTGGGATCATGTAGATAGAAAATGTTGAAACTAGATTTCTAACATAAGTCATATATATATATCTCACCTAGTACAATAAGTCGTACCATACTAAAATAGCTATTATGAATTAGCCATTATTGTAGCTGTTCTTTTTTTATTACAAAAAATATAGAATCTATCTCAAAATATCTTTTATTGACCATATGTGTTATTCTGATACTACCCAGAAACATTGCAGTATCTTATTCATCTTAAACAACAACAAAAACTCTGCGAAAGAAGAGGAGCCAGAAAGTGTGAGAGAGACAGAATGAGAACAAAAGGCTGGAAGTTAAGCTGGATTATTGTAGTCTTGAAAGCCAAAGGAAGTAATTGTTTTACAAAAGGAAGAACTCTTGGCAGTATCAGGTGCTAAAGACAGAGGTTATAGAGCATGAGGACTGGATTTAAAAATCAAGGCATATTCTCTTAGTGCGGTAGTAATGATAGGATAGAGTAGGAAACCATAGATAGGGAGTAGGGAGTTAGAGTGACGTGGAGGTAGAAGAAAAGAGTGCTGGATAAGTTTCTTAAATATATCTCTTTCTTAATCTGTGCAGTGGTGATAATGATACCTAACTCATGATATGGTTGCATGACGAAATATGATATTTGAAATTAAATGTGACAAGTGCTATCTATAAACACCTTAGGTTATTAGTATATGCAACTGGGCCCATTTGTAGTATTTGCAAGGTAGGTAGCAAATACAAAGACACACATTGGACATGTGTATGAATAAAATAAAATTAAGTGTATATTTTGTTGTATTACTTTGACAAATCTTCATATGGACCTAGAAAGTCAGGATTAAAATAAGAATTCTTGTATTCTTCAGAGTTCTATGCCAGATTATGTTCTCGTGGGCAAAGGTTATACCACTCTCTTAGCCTAAGCCTGCTCTCTTCCTGTCCCACACTCTTGTTTTACACTTTGAGGTAGCTCACATATGCTTGCTGCCTCCTTCCCAAGTCTCTCCAGTCAAGTTCTGTCTATCCCCTTTCAGGAAGTGAGAGCCAGAGAATAGTTCCTTGCATACTTTGGAAGCTTGGAAGTCAGATATTTTGTTTGTTTGTTTGTTTGTTTGGAAGGGAATGCCTCCTTCAAGATAGGAACTACTACAGTAGGGCATGGGCTGATGGCCCCCAGCTCTCTTCACCACTTAGGGAGGGGTGTAGCTAGAAAAAGGCCAGAGTAATTTATCCTAAACCTGGAGGTCCAGGAGTATAGAGGCTTGTCTTGTGTGGGTCCAGTAAGTCTTTTATTTATAAACTTGCACTGAAAGGAAGTAAATATAGGCCTTTTTTTTTTAGATACGGAACTTGAGGCTTAGAAAAATACATGGTTTTATCACTCGTTAAGTATGAAGAGATTTGAACTCAGATTGGGCTGATTCCCAAGCTTTTTCTTTTTCTCCAATTCTTTACTCCCTCTTCCAGCAGCCAGTAATGCACACTGCACTCAACTTAGTGCTTGCCTCACAAATATAAAAAATGACATTGCCATCAAGCATCTGTTAAGTTTAAGATACATGAAGTGAACATATGGGATGGTTTTTTTATGGCTATGACATCCATTCTTCTTGGATTAATTCTTGAGTTTTGGAGAAGAGAAGTAGTAGTTTGCATTCTTTTGTGGGTATTGGTGAAAAGGTGATATATTCAGCCTGCTACAGATATCAAACACATGGTTGTTTGCCCTTACTGGAGAGTGTCTTCATTATCTTTCTTTCATAGTCTTCCTTTCATAGTGTTTCAATTACCTTAATTATTGGAGGCCAAAGGTGAAATTTCTAATATTGTTTAGTATGTTTTTGTCTAGGCCTTTTAAAATAGGAGTAGCACAGTGATGTGAAGATTGTGGACAGATCGTGTATTTAGAGCAAGGCTGACTATGAAGGAACTTTCAGGGATGATGGAAATGTTGTGTATCTTTTACAAAATATTAATTATAAATGACAAGTAACATTATATTGTTCAACATGATATGTTAGTATGAGTATGTATTGTGACATGACAACATCAAACTATTTAACATATGTATTACCTCCACATATCATTTTGTGGTAAGAACATTTAAAATCCTACTCTCAGCAATTTTCAAATACAGTCATATATTGCTTAACAAGAGGACTACGTTTCTGAGAAATGTGTTGAGCAGTTTTGTCCTTAGAGCGCACTTGGCTTCTTGATGAAAACACAGTAAATACAAGATTGATGAGGCACCTGCTGACATACTGTTTTACAGTAAACTTTTGTTTACTGCATACTATTTGTTGTTTAATGCATACTGTATACTTTTGTTACTACAGCATACTATTTTATAGTAAACTCTTGTTTTTGTTTTGTTTTGTTTTTGAAGTTCTGGGGATTAAATCCCAGTCTTTGTGCTTACTAAGTGAGTGCCCTATCACTGTGCTATATCTCAAGTTCAACAATAATATACTTTTAAAATTAAATACTGTTCTTAATCACCATCTACTCAGAAATCTTCAGTATAGATTTAACCCCACAAAGACTTTCCCCAGTGTCTTTTAGTAAGATTGCTCATTGGTAGAATGCATACTTAGCATGTACAAGGTTTTAAGGATTTTTTCAATTCCATTATCATCTTAATGGGTCTCTTGTTGTATGTGATTTATCCTTGACCAGAACATCATATGCATGTGCCATGTATCATTTTTTAACTCTAGTCACTACGACATACAGTAGACCTTTAAGGTTATTCATTTTGTTGTTTCTGAAATTTTGTGTACTTTGACCAGTTATCTCCCTGGTCCCTTCCCCAGCCTCTGGTAACCACAATTTTACCTTTATTTCTGTGAGTTAAATATTGTATATCTGGATAGAGATTTGGGTTATAAGTGTGAATACATTCATCAGAATTTATCCTGGTATATACTTGTGCATTTTTTCAAGTAACTCTTAGCTTTAAAAATATACAGTGTAAGTGAAAAGTAATGAACTCTGAGATGGTTGGCAGTAGAATGTACTGTTGTCTGGAACTTACTTTGAGATAATAAGAACAATTGGATGGATAAATGGATAAATATGTGATGAAGCAAATATACAAAAGTATTTTGTAGAGAACATTGTCTTTATGAGTATTCATTGAGCAAGGCTTTTTGTTTTTTGTTTTTGTTTTTGCCATACTAAAAGTGAACCCAGACTCAAGGTGTTTGTGTGTTAGGCAAGTGCTGTACCACTGATCCACATCCCCAGTTTTTAACTGTTCTATTTGAAATATTTCTTAGAAAATGTTAAAAAGATCCTGGCTCACTGAAGTAGTTGCTGCATAATTCAGGCTTTAGTTTCCTTTTTGTAATGTTAAGTCAGTCCCAGATTCAGTATCAGATTGACACAGTCACATGTTCATTTTGAAGTTAAAAAGATACCACATTTTCTTTCTTTGAGACGCGTCTTGCTGTTTTGTCCAGGCTAGGCTTGAATTTGGGATCCTCCTACCTCAGACTCCTCAATAACGGGGATTATAAGTGTGTGCCATCACACTGGGCTGGACATCACATTTTTTAAGGCCACTGAAGACATGGATCCTTGCCTTTATTAGAATTATCTGTTTATCTTACTAGAAA